CCCCAGCCCAGCAAGGGGGGGGACACGTGATGGGGCTATGAGAGGGGGGTCAGAGAAGAGGGGATGCTGGGGGTGGGGCTGCGAGGGGGCACACGGACCCCTGCCCAGCCGCGGGGAGCGGCAGGCGCTTGCTGAGGGGGGGGAACAGGTGCCGTGGGGGAGGGGGGGTCCCCGCACCTACCTCTCCGCCATCTTCCCCGGCGGCTCGCTAGCGCGCGGCAGGCTGGGTGCGCAGAGCGGCGGCCCCCGCCCGCCAGCCCATGGCCCCAGCGGCTCCGGCTCCCGACACCGACTGAGGCTCCGGCTCCGGCTGCAGCCCCGCCGCGTCCCCCCGTCACCATCGACAACCTGACCTCACCCGGCCGCAGCCAACCAGGCGCCGCCGGGGGCGGAGCCTGCGGTCCAAGCCCCGCCCCCTCCCATGGTCTCATGGGAGCTGTAGTTCCTGCCCGGGGCGCCAGGGGCTGCAGCAGTTACAGCCCACCTGGGGGCAACAATTGGGCCCAGTCCAGAGCCCTCACCTGTAATCACCCACTGCTCCCCTAACTCTGCCTATTCCCATCTATTTCTGTCCTAGAATTCCCTAGAATCTGCCCATTTCTGCCAGCCCCCCGACCAGGGGCACTGGAGCAATGTGTACAGTGGGGGGGGCTGAGAGCCATTGAACCAAACTGTAAACCCCGGATATGATGGAAACCACTTCAAGCCAAGGGGTGCGGCTGCACCCCCAGCACCCCTAGCTACAGCACCTACTCACATTCCAGCCTCCTACCCACTGCCAGCCCCCTACTCGCATTCCATCCCACGAAAGCTTATGCTCAAATACATTTGTTAGTCTCTACGGTGCCACAAGGACTCCTATTCCATCCCCTGTATTTTAATCACCTGGGAGACCCACAGTCAGGAAGTGGGGCCTATTGTGCTAGGTGCTGTACAACCAAAATGTACAGCATTTTGAAGGGCTGTGATATGCAGGCTGTCAGACCAAATGATCCCTTGGTTCTTTCTGGTCTTAAACTCTCTGAATCTATAAACAAAAAGACAATCCCAGCATTGGAATGTTTACAGTTCGAATAACTCTGGTATATAATCACCCCATTTAATGTTACCTTACGCAATCTAGTTGTTTATAATCTACCTATTTTTAGCAACATTTTGCATATTTCATACTTAGTGGTGGTGGATTATTTTTAATTGTGCTGCTGCACTTGAGATGTATTTTTAAATTATGTTAAGGGTACATGGTGCATATAGAATAGGGGGTTTAGGATTTCTGTAATGCAATCCGTTATTCTTATTTTAATTATACAGTAGGATTTAGAAGCTTCACTTGAGATCAGGACCCCGTTGTGCCAGGCACTGTATACAAAACTTTGCATCGGTCTTCATGGCTGAGGATGTGAAGGAGATTCCCAAATCTCAGCCGTTCTTTTTAGGTGGCAAATCTGAGGAACGGTCCCAGATTGAGGTGTCATTAGAAGAGGTTTTGGAAATATTGATAAACTAAACAGTAATAAGTCACCAGGACCAGATGGTATCACCCAAGAGTTCTGAAGGAACTCAAATGTGAAATTGCTGAACTACTAACTGTGGTGTATAACCTATCATTTAAACCATCTTATGTATCAGATAACAGGAGGATAGCTAATGTGAGGTCAATTTTTACAAAAGTTTCCAGAGGAGATCCCAGCAATTACTGGCTGGTAAGCCTAACTACAGTACCAGCCATGAAACCATAATAAAGAACAGAATTGTCAGACACAGATGAACTTGATTTGTTGAGGAAGAGTAAACATGGTTTTTGTAAAGGGAAATCATATCTCACCAATCTACTGGAATTCTTTGAGGGGGTCAGCAAACAGGTGGACAAGGGTGATCCAGTGGATATAGTGTACTTAGATTTTCAGAAAGCTTTTGACAAAGTCCCTCACCAAAGGCTATTAAGCAAAGGAAGCTGTCATGGGATAAGAGGGAAGGTCCCCCTCATGGATCAGTAGCTGGTTAAAAGATAGGAAACAAAGGGTAAGAATAAATGATCAGTTTTCAGAATGGAAAGAAGTAAATAGTGGTGTCCCCCAGGGATCTTTACTGGGACCAGTACTATTCAACATATTCATAAATGACCTGGAAAAAGGGCTAAACAGTGAAGTGGTAAAATTTGTAGATGATAAAAAATTACTCAAGATAGTTAAGTCCAAAGTAGACTGCAAAGAGTTACAAAGGAATCTCACAAAACTAGGTGACCACTGGGCAACAAAATGGCAGATGAAATTCAATGTTGATAAATGCAAAGTAATGCACATTGGAAAGCATAATCCCAACTATACATATAAAATAATGAGGTCTAAATTAGCTGTTACCACTCAAGATAGAGATCCATTGTGGAGCCATTGTGGATAGTTCTCTGAAAACATCCACTAAATGTGCAGCGGCAGTCAGAAAAGTTAACAGAATGTTGGGAATCATTAGGAACGGGATAGATAATAAGACAGAAAATATCATGTTCCCTCTACATAAATCCATGCTACATTCACATCTTGAATACTGTGCGCAGATGTGGTTGCCCCATCTCAAAAAAGATATTGGAATTGGAAAAGGTACAGAAAAGGGCATCAAAAATTACTAGAGGATGGAATAGCTTCTATCTGAGGAGACTAATAAAACTGGGACTTTTCAGCTTGGAAAAGAGACAACTAAGGGGGGATATGATAGAGGTCTATAAAATCATGACTAGTTTTGAAAAAGTAAATAAGGAAGTGTTATTTACTCCTTCTCATAACAGAAGAAATAGAAGTCACTAAATGAAATTAATAGGCAGCAGGTAACAACCAAAAGGAAGTATTTCTTCACACAACGCACAGTGAACCTGTGGAACTCTTTGCCAGAGGATGTTGTGAAGGCCAAGACTATAACAGGGTTCAAAACAGAACTCCAAATTCATGGAGGAAAGATCATCAATGGCTATTTGCCAGAATGTGCAGAGATGGTGTCTCTAGACTCTATTTTCCAGAAGCTCGTATGGTTGCCAGCCCTCCAGCATTGTCCTGGAGTCTCCAGGAATTAAAGATTAATATTCCATTAAATATTATGTCACGTGATGAAACCTCCAGGAATACGTCCAACCAGAATTGGCAACCCTAGAAACTGGGAATGGTCGACCGGGGATGGATCACTTGATGAATACCTGTTCTGTTCATTCCGCCTGAAGCACCTGGCATTGGCCACTGTCTGAAGACAGGATACTGGGCTAAATGGACTTTTGGTCAGACCCAGTATGGCCATTCTTATGTTCTTATGTAAAGCAGTCTCTGATCTGACAGTTCTACAGTCTACACAAGACAGATAACAGATGGTATAAAGACACAAAATTACTTGCACAAAATCACAGTAGCAGAGCCATGAACAGAACCTATGTCTCCTGACACCCAGCCCAACATGCTAGCTGCTAGATCACCCTATAATCTGTTAAATTTCTTATCTAATCAGTTCTAGATATTATCTACAACAGTGTTTCCCAAACTTGGGACGCCGCTTGTGTAGGGAAAGCCCCTGGCGGGCCGGGCCGGTTTGTTTACCTGCCGCGTCCGCAGGTCTGGCCGATCGCGGCTCCCACTGGCTGCGGTTCGCTGCTCCAGGCCAATGGGAGCTGTGGGAAGTGGCGGCCATTACGTCCCTCAGCCCACGCTGCTTCCCACAGCTCCCATTGGCTTGGAGCGGCGAACCGCAGCCAGTGAGAGCCACAATCGGCCGGACCTGCGGAAGCAGCAGGTAAACAAACCGGCCCGGCCCACCAGGGGCTTTCCCTACACAAGCGGCGTCCCAAGTTTGGGAAACACTGATCTATAACATAGCTAATCAGTTTCAACTATTATCTTTAATCAATCTAGTTTTGTCTAATCCAGTATACTTTTTATCTACTATTTCCAGTCTATTTTATCTAGTGTATTTCTCATTTATTGTTTTTATTAGTGAGAATGACAGTCTGTATTATTAATATTGATCATGAATATTTTATGTTTCAAGTGCATTCATCCCAAAAGCTCCAAAAATACATCACAAATTACACATATGCAGAACCACTGAAACACAGCCATCTCTGGGCATAGGGCTTCAGCCAACTGACACAGCACATACCACACATTGAGTGCCAAATTAGTACATTTACTATTAATATTAAATTGCAATCTCCTTGGGGCAGAAACCAATCTTCTATGGCCCTTCTGCAGATACATATACCCCTGACTAGATTCATGCGATTAGTCCCACTGAATACACTGGAAATATTTGTCTGATTGGATTTCAGTGATAGCCGTGTTAGTCTGTATCAGCAAAAGCAACGAGGAACCCTTGTGGTACCTTAGAGACTAACAAATTTATTTGGGCATAAGCTTTCATGGGCTAGAACTCACTTCGTCAGATGTATGAAGTAAAAAATACAAGAGCAGGTATAAATACATGAAAGGATGGGGGTGCTTTACCAAGTGTGAGGTCAGTCTAATGAGATAAATCAATTAACAGCTGGAGACCAAGGGAGGAAAAATAACTTTTGAAGTGGTAAGAGAGTGGCCCATTACAGACAGTTGACAAGAAGGTGTGAGTAACACTAGGGAGAAATTAGTATTGGGGAAATTAAGTTTAGGTTTTGTAATGAGCCAACCACTCCCAGTCTTTATTCAGGCCTAATCTGATGGTATCTAGTTTGCAAATTAATTCCAGTTCTGCAGCTTCACATTGGAGTCTGTTTTTGAATTTTTGTTGTTGAAGAATTGCCACTTTGAGGTCTGTTATTGAGTCACCAGAGAGACTGAAGTGTTCTCCCACTGGTTTTTGAATTTTATGATTCCTGTCAGATTTGTGTCCATTTATTCTTTTGCATAGAGCCTGTCCGGTTTGGCCAATGTCCATGGCAGAGGGGCATTGCTGGCACATGATGGCATATATCACGTTGGTAGATGTGCAGGTGAACGAGCCCCTGATGGTGTGGCTGATGTGGGTAGGTCCTATGATGGTGTCACTTGAATAGATATGTGGACAGAGTTGGCACCAGGGTTTGGTTCCTGGGTTGGTGTTTTTGTTGTGTGGTGTGTAGTTGCTGGTGAGTATTTGCTGGTGAGTATTTGCTTCAGGTTGCGGGGCTGTCTGTAAGCGAGGACTGGCCTGTCTCCCAAGATCTGTGAGAGTGAGGGATCGTCCTTCAGGATAGGTTGTAGATCCTTGATGATGCGCTGGAGAGGTTTTAGTTGGGGGCTGTAGGTTGGGGGCTAGTGGCGTTCTGTTACTTTCTTTGTCGGGCCTGTCTTGTAATAAGTGACTTCTCGGTACCC